AGAGAATCTCTGTAGCTCAGGGTTGAACTGTGGAGTCCTTGGCGCTCTCTGAGCTTGGTGGTTTGCTTGCGGACGTTTCATTACCCAACTAGGTGACATCATCAGTGCGAAGGAGGGTGGGGTTTGCTCCGTTTATATACAGTAGCCTGCCCTGCCAGTGTTGGTGGGGGCATAGTTTTCTCCTTGTTCATTCCTTGATTAGAGTATTGTTTTCAGCTTGATTGTTTGTCTGGTGTTAATCCCTGCTTACCTCGGTGTTGGCTGCTGGAGAGGATGTGCTCTGAACAAACCATCAAGCAGAAAACAATAACCTAATCAAAGAACGAACAAGGAGAAAACCACACCTCCACCAACACTGGCAGGGCAAGCTACTGTATATAAACAGGGAGCAAACCCCACCCTCCTTCGCACTGATGATGTCACCTAGTTGGGTAACGAGATGTCTGCAGGAAAACCACCAAGCTCAGGGAGCACCAAGAATTCCACAATTCCAGAAGCACTACGATGCACCAGAGCTGGATTAGGGCTTTGTGAACACACATCTATAGGTTTCCAGCTCTCACACATACAGGCTGGGTTCCTGGCTTCAAGGATCATGTTAACTTACGGGCTTTAGACCAGTTTGTTCAACAAACCACATTAAACTGGTTTGCACAGTACACTAAGCCATAATCCATAGTTCACAAACCACAATGTACCGGTAGCACGTCAATCCCAAACCACATCATGGCTTGGTTGCATACAGAATCCCAGCCACTTGGTTGTAAACTATAGTTTATGGCTTAGTGACCCAGCAACTCAATTGTGCAGTTTACGTTCTCCCCCATGCCCAAACGCCTCTCTCCAACAATCAATTTGGGAGCCTCTTTAGCTGTTTCCTTCTCTCCTTTCCCCTCCAACACAGCGTTTGCACCTGTTCTGGTTTTCCCCCAAACCTGCCAGATTAAAAGCAGCCACGGTAAGACACCAAAGCAGCCAACCTAATTATTTCCTAGATCCACTCCTGGTGGCACTGAATGCCTGCATTGTTCATGTAACCCTAAAGCCGTGTTCTCAACCTTGGCCACTGTAAGATGAGTGGACTTCAACTCCCAGAATTCCCCAGCCAGCCAGTTGGGCTGGGGGAATTGGCGATTTGGGAACGATTCAACTTTGAGCAGTCCAGCGTGGGAATACTGCGTTATGGGCTTTTGTATAATACAGTGATTA